TGAGAACACCGTGTGGGGGCAAGTATGTTCCAATGCACGGTTTCGATGGCTGGCGTTAAATGACTACGGTAACTAGCCACACCGACAGTTGATGCAGCCAACAGGAGTAGTACCCTTACGGTTGCCCTCGATTACGGTTACAACTCATGTCAATTGAGATCAATTATATCCTCAGCCTTATCAGCATCACGATATTTCTCGATATCCTTCATACAGAAAATGACTTCTAGTTTTAAAATGTGCACATCTTCCAAGCTGAAGGTTTCAAATAATTCAGATATACCTTCATCAAGAAATTGCATTTTGCCCTATATGATCATATTCCCTGAATTGTGGTTACGGCACATGCGAGTCGAGGTCACCTGTATCCTCAGTCTTGCTGTATTTCTTGATAAAGCCACACAGACAATGATTTTTAGATTTTAATAAGTACATGTTTGCCGAGTGAAGCCTTCAAATACTTTAAGAATAGCTACATCATAAAATAGCAGTTTGCTCTATATGGCAATTAATTACGATCACCGTGAATGTTAGTTTGTGGTCACTGTATCCTCATATTTTCATTAGTATTGTGACATATCCTGATATCCTCCTTACACACTTCTTCCTGGAATATAATGAAACATTGTGTGAATCAGCCATAAATATCACGATTTCTACATCTGATTGCCACGATTGCTCATTTTTCTCATTTCTGACTTTGTTGATTCCAGTGCAACTCTTTGTGTTGCTACAGATCTCTGATTTGCTTCAGATGCATCACTTAATCACTCCCATTCATAATTCTCCTCGAACTTCGAACCAGTTTATAATCTTCACTTCACTGGCCTTTCATTACATTACCACTTTTCAGTAAGTGGTTAGCCCTTTCGCCACTGATCAGTCTACTGCTTCTCTGATTACAGCATGCAGCAATAGACGACATCTTTCTTGGCATCTTCTCAGCACCCAACACTAAAACGATTAGTTATCATTGGTGCGATTTTTTCAGGATGCTTTATTCCAGATATTTCGTGGATATTTGCTTGGATTATAGCGCAGTACGTTATGCTGAGGCCACCACATTGAATTGTGTGGCTGATCTGGATCCGAAACAGCCACAATTATCCGTGGATTTTTATTCCCACTCTCTTGAGTAATTTATGTTCATTTCGATCCGTTCATTGCAACATTTTTTCAATCGTTTTGCCGTTTTGAGTTTCTGGTTAGCGATTGGAAATAATTCTTTATGCTGCAGGAACGGACCAAATTATTGTTCCGTTCTGAAAATCTGATTGCTCTGAATGGTCACATGTTTTGCCAGCATTTTCGTTATTTAATTTTCTCAAAATGTTGTTTCGTGCTGAAATTATAGATAACCCGCATTGTTTCCTTCTAATTATTGTACTCTCGATGAATTTCCCATGCTTAAAGTTACCTGTCGATGATCTCACCAGTCTCGTACTTTATTGACTCATGTGGAAATTTTTCCAGAAATGTCAGATTATCTCAGAAGTGCTGTTGTTGCGTAATTAATGTGACTGTTCGCGTCTCCACTTGTGTTCGCTTTTGCTTGTGAACTGCGGATTTTGTTAAGAAATATTGATCGTCGATTTTTTTCAGTTGAAGCTTTCGTTCTGTCATGGCCGATCCACTGAAACTGCTTCACGAATATGCCGTCGGGAGACGCACAATGCGCGAAATCAAACAGGTATTCTTCATTCGGACGTCAGTGTTTATAATTTCAAGCAAATTTATCCTACAATCATAGAATCGTTTTATCGATTTCTGAGAAATGAGATTGTTTATTGAATGTTCGCACATTTCCGATCAGTTCATCTGATGTTTTTTGAAAATACATTCGTGCGCTGATGTTTCTTTGATATTCTCGCTTCGCATCATGCATCAAAAAGTGGTCGATTCAGGGTCATGATCGTTATTTTGTGTTCGGCGATGTTGCTTATCCGCGTGATGTCAAAACAAATTTGATCGTCTACGGCAAGCAAAATGAATATTATACACTTGAATCTTTGTTGTTGCTATGGGAGAATCGCGAAATGCAACACACCGCATACGTTAAGGATGCATCCGGCAAGGGTATTCAGTGTGTCACCAGACCGGACAGGTACTCTTTTTCTCGTTGATCCACACGTTTTTCTCAACAGAATATATGATTACGGATACTGATTAATCGAGCATATCAATAAAGCTCTCAAATAGTGATAGAATTCATGTGATCTGGCTTGTTCAGTGGTATGATTGAAATAACTGAAAACTTTGTTACATAAAATTTTAATTTCTCATTTCAAGGAATATAATTGGTTAATCTGAATTTCTTTTCGTATTTCATTTTTCTCGAAGTATGATATGTCTCCTATAATTTCAATTTATCGAGTTTGCAGACGTGAGCTGTTGGCGTATTTGAAAGGTGAACGTGAGCAACCACCACAGAATGTGGACGTTTTAGCGCCAATCCCAGCACCGATTCCTCTATCGAGATTGAACGAGAACGAGCCTGAACCGAAAAAGTCACGATATGATGGCGAAGAGAACAGGTCGTGTCTATCCATTGCATTGTTCTTGGTCCTCTATTAATACTCTGTACCAAGATGCTGTACCATTCCGAACGATTTGTATTGCACTGATTACTTGATGCTCCTAGTTGGTTCACGTTGCGCATACACTCGACACGGATTACGCCGAAGTGCTTTACCTCACATTCATCATTGCACTCAAGTTGTTCGCATGGCAGAATGTGTGATCGTTATGTTTTTATATCAAAAGAAAATAATAGATAATCAAATTTCAACCTCACTTATATCCTTCGTCCATTCTTTGTTCTATGAATTTGATCTGTCCAGATGATTTCTTGAAACTCCGACTAACTGTAGGTGTCTCGTTGCAGACAAAGAATCCAGAATCTTTTGATGGGTTCCGTGACCGAAGGTAGCAAAAGTGGCGCAGCTGAAGGTGTTCGAGATTTAAGCGATAAGTTGACAGCAGACAAAATTGCGGCATTGAAGAATAAACGAAAAAAGAATATGGCCAGAAATACGATCAAGTCTGTTGATGATAGGTAAAACTGTTTCAATTTATTCAGTCATTCATCCATTTTTCAAGTGTTCCATCTCGATGCAATTAAGTGTTTACAATAACTTACCTATCGCGTTTCCTGTTATAATCTTTGCTTCCGTTAACCTCTTGGTGGATCCATCGTACTAAACAGTCAGCCTTATTCAACTCAGGTTACTGTGCTAGTTGGTTTATGTTGTTGTGTTTTTTCTTCAGTTTTGCGCATGCCATGGAATTGGATGTTCCTGAGTTGGGGGGCACGGACGTTGTGGATCGCGAATTGAAGAACAAAGAACGTGTTTGGAAAAATAGAACGAGCGTGATGGAGGCACCATCGAAGGATTTCACTCCTATATTCTCCATTCTGCACAGTCTTAAGGTTTCGAATTCGTCCATCTTTTGACAGTGTTGATTGACTGATCGCCCTTTATGTCCCATATTTGGATGAATCTGCTTGATCGTGTGAATACAGCAGCATCATTGTTCAAATATGAATTTGCATTGTTGTATTCAGGTGCGTGAAGAGGCGGTCCAACGGCAGAAGGCGTCAGCACCGCCGCCTAGAAGTGCAGTCGGTGAACGATCGAGAGCGCAGCCAGTTGGCTACTCACGTTACGATCAAGAACGTTTCAACAAGGATCAAACTGCAGGCTTCAAAATTGAAACTGGCCTCACTTTCCAAGGTGTTTATATGTATTTTAATAGGTGTTTCATGATTACTTTTTTGAAAGTTAGACGAATTCTATAATATTATTGATATTGTTTCATATTTGATTTACGACGCTATTAAACTGTAGGTGTGATTGTGTGATATCCCTGAATAACGATCGTTAGCAACGTTAAAGAGGAATTATTTTGTCAAGCATATGAATGTCTCTGTGTGCGCATTTGGAAAAAAATGGGAAGGAATCGTGAAAATGATGTCTAATGTCACAGTTATATGTTTCTCTTAAAGAGTTTTAGGAACTAGTGAAGTGACCAATGAATTGTAGCTTCATAGATGAATGAAATGAAACTTGTGTAGAAATAGAAATATCATTAACTTCATCAGTTCTCAGTAGTCGAATGGTAATGTTACTTGGATTCTAAGCATGACAGTGTTAATATTGAAGGCACATCGCTCAAGGCAATTTCGTCGGTTGGTGCTAAGCCGATGGCCGCTGATTCAACAACGAGTGGCAATTTGGCGAAAGCCACATCGTCGGCGATAGGAGCTGANTTTGAATTTTTCTCGGTATTGACCCCAAACTGGTTTGTTTTCGAATTGTGTACAGTCAAATGATAATTTTCTGAATTTGGTTACATGAATTCGGTATGCATTGTAAGGTGCAGTCATAGTGTTAGAGAGTTTGTTTGATTAGAGGTGAGCAGTAGGGAAGGGGAAAGGTTAACATAATTGTATTGGTTTTTGTTCGGTGCATTCACGTTCATTGTGGGGAAAGTGCACGACGTATGTGAACTGAACTGTGACGGCACATTTAAGACAGTTCGTAAGCATCATTTTAGTGAAGCAGTGCTGTAGGAACAATGCTGGTAATGTTTTCATTAATGACTGAAATGAGTTATTTTGTTCGGATGTTAGGATATGCGCTTCGTGTCAACCGAGGAACGCAAGAGTGTGTGTCGACGGGAGAATGAGGTGTTGATACAAAGAAGCAAGAGCGAAGGAGTGACAGTCCCGTATCGAGTGGTTGATAACGCACTCAAACTGAACGATGACGAGTGGACACGGGTGGTGGCTGTCTTTGTTCAGGTATTATTGTTGTGTGCCATCAAAGAGATGAATTTTACGACGATCGATGTCATTAAGTGATGATGATTCGTTGTTGTGCAGTGTTAAATATTTGTGAGTTATTCAATAAGTGTACATTTTGAGTAGATCACCGTTTGCTTTGAAGGGTCCTGCATGGCAGTTCAAAGGATGGCGATGGGGTGGTAATCCGACGGATATTTTCGCAAATGTTGCAGCATTTCATTTGATGTTCGATGATCAACGATTGGACACGAATGTTGCAAGATGGAGTGTTAACATTCTGAAGTTATCGCGTACGAAACGACATTTAGATCGAGCGATTCTGGCTCGTTTCTGGGAGGTTTTGGATCATTATATCGTCAAGAATAAAGCACATTTGAGGTATTGAAAAGGTACGTCTATTTTGTGTGATGATAATGTGTGTGCAACACTGGTCTTTTTTTAAAATTCGTTTTAAGTATCAGCCATTCTAGATGTCACCTAATAGTTTGGTTGATTTGAATTGATTTCATTGATGGCATTGTAACTAGATGACCAATTCGATAAATTTTCATTGATCAGCAGTCAAATGATATGATCTGTTGGTTGCGCGTTTACTCGTCGTCATTTAACGATATCAGTGCGGGTCATTGTAACTTCAGTGTCGTCATTTCTTTTGTGGAGTTACCTCATTCAAAGTTGAGAATATTTGCATAGTTATTGCTGTACTTCCTATCTGTTTTCATTTTTTTGACGTCTTTTTGTGTTGGTCGAGAGTTGTTATTGTTGAATAATACACCACAGAACTGGTGACGTTTTACTATCATATATGTGTATATTGTTCATGATGCTGTCGTTGTTGTTAACAATGTTATTACTAATATTGTTGCTCTTATCATGATTATCGTTATTGTAATTATTATTAATTTATAATCTTCTTACTATCGTGATTACTTCTGTTACAGTTGTCATTTGAATTGTCCCTCAGCTGATTTTTGGATGCGCATACACCTCTCTCAAGCATTTTAATAGAATCTACGTACATCTGATGCTTCCCATATAAATTTGCTCCATTGTTGATCTGAAACTTGTTTAAGTTTAGAGTTACACTTAAAGCTTATGAATTTAGTGTTGCTGCTGATTAGTACATTTGTTTCTTTTTATGATATTTCAGTATTTCTTTTGGTTTCGTTCACAAGTAAATGTAATGTTTTGCGAGCATATCCGTAATATTCATTCAATTGTTTTGCTGAAATTTTTAAACTTTCCATATATTTCCTCACTTTCGTTATGTTGAACAACACATGTGTCCCCATGCATGAAACCTTTATTTCGTCTGTATCAATCGCTTAGTTTTTGTTTCAGTGATCATGGAGTAACCTGAAGTATTCATATTATTCTTTCCACTCTGTTAGTCTGATAACATGAAATCACAAACTCAAATACACAAACAATCGTGACCTGATATTGTATTTTGCATCGCTGTATGAATCAAAGTGACATCGCTGTACGTGTTTTTACCGTTTTATTGGAAGTGCATCAATTTGTTCTGTTCTTAAATCCGTGAATAATTCTGTTTTGATATTATTATCGTCTGTAAATTTCACTCGTTTTGCATATTCAATGAAATTTTTATCTTTGCTGTTTTGTTGAATCCGCCATTAAATCACAGCCTGAAACGAAACTTGTACATCTGCATTCGACTGACAATGAGCTCTTGAGTATCATGTGGAAGAATTTCGAACAATGCAAAAGTTTCATCCCCAATGAAAAGTCTTAATTCCCTCAGAATGGGTTTGAAGGTGCCATGCTGTAAGCATCGGAAAGATCAATTGATGAAGTTTACATTTTGCGGACAGGCGATAACTGTTTATGAGATACGAAAAATATGGTCCTAGTTACTGACCAATGACGCATTGTAGTGCTAATGTTTTTAGATTCGCTCCCAAGGTACATGTTTCCTCGGGTTTGCATAGCATCATAACGGTTATTAGTTACTATTAGATGGTGCAGATTCCTTGTGTCTAAGAAGATTTACATGTCGATGACGGATAAGGCTTATTTTCACCAAAGCAACTGAATTTCAAGGTGCATCTCATAAACCTGAATGATTCCATAATGCAACGATATTATACGTTTGCATTCAGTCTCTACCTTTATCAACGATGTAATGTTAGCAGGTGATTAGGAGTGTATTTTCTTGAACTGTGGTCATCATGTCATTCTGCATGATCTTCACGTTTATGTGATCACTGAGTCGTTGTTTATACAGGTGACAGTTTGGAAGGCAACTCAAAATACAAGAGTACCAACCGAAAATACAAAATCACCACTCCACCGTGTTGATCAATGCTTTACAGGAAAAGAGCGATAAGCACACATCACTGCATATCCCAATCTCTCGATACGCCGTCACAATAAGCTGGCCGTAATTAATTGTCATGACAGTATTTTATGCGGTCCCTCCCAAATATAGGTATGAATGATTGTACACGACTTACACAGCTACTTACAATGGCTGTACACACAATTACACAGTTATGTAATTGCAATTGATTATGATTGCATGAAAACCTATTGTCTGTGACACGCTTACTTCAAAGTGATTGAGACGAATTCTCATTCTTTTCAGACGTGATCTA